GCACTCGCAGCGCGGGCGGCCACCCAGCATGCGGCACGCCTTGCCCGGGCCGCACTCCACGCCCTCGCACGAGTCTGCGGAGACAGGACACGCACGCGGGGCTGGGGCGCGGGAGGACGTCCCAGGGCGCGCGGCCCAGAATCGGACCCGGGAACCCCGCGGCGCCCTGCTCTCCTAAAGGACGGAGGGACCCCCGAGGCAGGCGCGCCACCCGGGATCGAGGGTCCTCTGGGGACCGGGGTGTACGAGGGTGGGGTACTTGGTTCGAGGGTGCGAGTGCAACTAATGCTCGGGTGGTCAGGGGGTTAAATGTGGGAGAGCAGAGGGGGTCTCCGCCCGGAATCCGGGGTGCTGGAGAGGCGCCTCCGCTTTCCAGCCGGCAGTACGCGCTTAGGTGCAGCTGGGCTGACGTCTCTGTTCCCTGATTGACGCCGATTCTGGGAAGGCCAGCGGGGAGAGGGGGTTCCTTCCCCGAGGCTGCCAGACCTCCCTGGGGGAAGGCGGCAGTGTGGGCGGGGAGTCAGCTCTGGATGGAGGAGCAGAGGAGCGTCTGCTGGCTGTAACCCTCGGAACCACAGGTTTCTAGGGGACCCATTTCTCAGGTAGGGAATGAGGCTGGCCAGGAGAAGCCTCTCCATGCAGTCCCAGCCTCCACTTCTAATGCGCTGTTCCTCGCTCCCAGACCCATGGATCCTCTCTAACCGTCATTGCAGACGAGAAACAGGATCATTCACACGTGGGAGAGTAGGCCCAGGGCACCTCAGCTGGAGAACCCCAGGTCAGGAGGCACCCTGGTCTTGGCTGTGGGTCTGAAGGGCAGTTGGCCGCCCCAACCGCAGTTGCCCTGGGTGCAATGCAGTGGGGGAGCCCGCAGTGCAGTCAGCAGCACTCCTAAGGGACCTGCAGGGCTGCAGACTGCACCTGGGGTTCCTAAAGCCACCCACGCACATCTGGAACCGCTTGGTGCTGGTGGCTTCCTGCAAGCCCACGTAGGGGGCCGCCATCGCAACCCCAGGGCCGGAGGACAGAGCGGCCTGGACCAGCTCACCCCGCCCACTTTGAAGTCTGTTCTCCCAGAAGCCAGAGGGGGGTCTGCAGGGAGTAGGGGCACCTGGAGTGAGTTCAGGACCACCCAGCCAGACCAGTCTGGGATTATTCCCGTCCTAGGGGCAGGCAGCTGGCAGCTCCAGTCTTCCCGTTCCCCTGTCTGACCCCACCCACCAGGACCTAGCTCTAGCTG